CGACGATCCACGAGCTGTGCCTTCGGTTCCGTCGGAATCTTTGTTCGTAGAGGCGACGTCGTCCGAAGCTTTGACTGATTCGGTTTCGCCGTTACCGACATTGGCGTATTCCGCGTCGCATTCCAACGGTCCGAAAGGTCGGTAGAGTTCAACCACGAAACACGTTGGCCCGACAGAGGTGACTTTATGTCCATTTTGCTGTCTTTGAACAATGCTTCGTCGTCGTCGCGGTTAGCGTAGTACTTGTCCAGCCTTGTCGTTTGGAGCAATCGAATGATGGTAATCGAAAATGCGCATGAGTGCTTCTTTTTCATATTTCTTGTCAAATTTCGTGCGGCATCGGTGCGCGCCCATTCTGAGCACGTTAATGTCTCGCACCGAAGTGGTCAGAGCTTTTTCAATTTTGTACTGAGGCATTGTACAGCGATCCGTTCATTGTCAGATGCGAATTGTTCACCCTGCCGGGACGGCGTACATCGTTATTCGTTTTCTATAAACGCGCAACAGTGCGTGTTTAAATTAAACTTGGACGCGGCAGCCACTTTGGGCAACGCGCTTGGGAACCGGTAAAATACTCCGGCCATTGTAAACAAGTCGGATTGCACATTCGCGTTTGCGGCTGCTGAAAACGTTTTGAGGTTGTTGAATTGAATTTTCAGCAATACGTAACTGAACAGAAAGCGAAAACTGGTGGAGGATTGCGAAGAGAGTGTTTGTAAAAAATTTTCTCTGTTTACGATGCGGCGCGTTCCACTGCAAGTCGGCGACGGTCAGTTGCCAGTAGGCCAACATGAACAGCTCGATTTCGCCTTCCAAAAAGTCGTAGGTCGCCTGTTTTCGGTTTTTCATCATTTTTTCCAACAAAACTCCAAATTCCAGTATAAACTTGTCAGGTATGAAACCGTACCGCAAATGATAGGTCGAAATGTCCGCGGGACTGTTGACCACGGTAGAAGTGTACGGTTCGGCGGACAGACCGTTGGCCGTGTACAGTTTTAAATTCTTGCCCAGATCCGACGGCGCAAACCGTATGGTGTGCAAATGCTGTTTGTAGTATTTTTCGACAACCGAGTACAACGAAACGTATTCCGTGCCCGTCTCCAATCGCGCGGGATCGTTTGCCGTCAGTTTGCAGTTTTTGTACATGCTCAAATTGAAAATTTCAGCGTTTTTTGTCCGCAAACGTTTCGCGTACTTGCTCGGGGTCCAGCACGCAAACTCCACGTCTTTTTTCGAGTTTATTTTCTTACGTTTCGGCCAGTTTTCGTCCGGATCGGTGCCATGTATGGGATTTATAAACATATCGTCAATGTCTACCTCGGCGGTTGGCATTTGCAAGTGTTCCGACTTGACGGTGCAACAGTATTTCGGTAATTTGTTCGGTTTTGTGTCTGTCGCGCTGTGTAAAAATTCGTTTACAGATTTGGGTTCGCGACGTTTAACGTCGACATCGTTACCGTTGCCGGAATCGCCGTCGCCGCCGTCGCCGTCGTCGACGGTACCGTTGTCTTTGCCGGCAACATTGACAACATCAGCGACGCCAGCGTTGTCGTTGTCGTCGTCGTTGTCGTCGTCGGTGTCGTCGTCGTCGGAGCACGCAAACGCCATGTTGACAGTGTTGGGCATATGTAAAATCGATCGCGAACGTATTGCATAATGATTTTTTTGCACAACCTGTGCAAATGGCGAAGGTTCTTCGTCATCCGAAGACGCCATTTCGTCCGATTGCAACGATTCATTATCGATTTCGGATTCGGTTTCTTCGCCACTATCGAATTTTTCCGGAATCGAGGGTTTTGGTCGGTCCACAGCTAATGTTTCGGCCATAACCGCCGAAGCTTGTAACTTTGAACTAATAATCGGATCGATGCGTTTACCGGTACCTCGGAGTATAGGTCTCGTTTGATCTTCGGAAATTTGTGTATACTTTGGTTTTTTACAAGCCACCGGTACATTCTACAAAAAAAATTAATCGTATAAAAAATTGAGAAAAACTTGTGAAACCCAAAAAACATACCCGTAAACTTGATAAACTGTCGTTGATGCTGACATTGTTATCTAAAACGCTGCTGCTGCTGCTGCCGACGCCACTTTTTGATTTGCGTTCGCGCTTACGTTTTGCGCAATTCAATTGACGTTTAACCGCACGAACTTGTTTTCTGATGAGAATTTTACGATTTTCAAGTTCTTGTTCGTCGTCGTCTTCATCAGCAGCATCATCATCGTCGGCGTCGTCGTCGTCGGTATCGACTTCTTTAGTTTTTACCGGTTCAACATAATCGGAATCGGCATCCGAATCGGATTCGTAATCGTTTTCAACAACTGCGGTTGTCAAATTTTCAACATCGTCGACGTCTTTTTCATTGACTTTTGCGTTGGCGGCGTCGTTGTCGTTGTCGCCGTCGTCGCAGCTACTCAAAAGTAAATCATTGAATAAAATTCGACGATCGCCATTGCCGCTGTTCCGGCTACCTACAATACGAGTATCGTCGTCACCGCTTCTGTCGCCGATACTGCTATTGCTACCGCTGCTACTACTACTGCTGCTGCTGCTGCTGCGGCTGCTGCTGTTGCCGCTGCTGCGGATTGACGATCGGTGGCGTTTCGACGAATCTTTTGTACCAATTAACGATTCCGAATAACCATTGAACCCCGAATCGAGCGATTGTTCCAAATTTTTTGCGAGTTCGGCATATTGTCGAGCAAAAGTCGTAGACGTACCGGACCAAGACGGAGAATTTTTAGAGTTTTCAGCAACGGTTTGTTGTTCTCCAAAAGTCGTAAGCGGTGTCGTGTTTGTCGGCACCGAAGTCATTTCGGTCACTATAGCCGCGGCTATGGCGTCTTCGTTGGCCGGGTCCATGCAATAATTGTTGAAATCAAATTTCGACGAGTCTGTGCACAAACAATTGACATTTAGACCAAAACGACCGAAAAAAACAACAACAATTTTACTTACCGTTTAAAACTTCGGATAGAGAGTTGTTTGAATCCAACAACTCAAAAGTGTTTTCCGTATTGAACGTCAATACGGGTAAATCACCGGACAACATGCTCTGCATGTCTTTGGCAAACAGCACGTGGTCTCGAACGGCTGTGAAATTTGACGACATTTTTTTGCGTACAACCAAAAAAGAATGTAAACAACAAACGTCTTTGAACGGTGTACGAAAATAATAACGGTGCGAAAAAAATTGTATAGAGCTAAACGAGTTGTGTCCTCAGGGCGTACGGTAACACAACTATAAACAGTGTACTTATTGTAACGTATTATATACGCCGGCGAAGCGACTCTGCCGGCAAATTGCTCGGAAATGACGTCAACCGACGGTAGCGTAGCGACGTCGTTATCGGTACACTGCGAAATTGCGCAGCGCGGACCGCCGACACGGATTGTTTACACCGGCGCGGCAACTAACCGGTGTGCGCCGGGAGCAACTGCTCTTGGAACGAAAACCATTACCACCGCAATATCGCGATTGTAGCGGCAGCCGCAACAACAACGACGGCGGCGGCGGCGGCGGCGACGCTGACCCGTTTACGAGTCTGGTGATTGTAATCCGGTCGAGTTACGTTGTGTATCAACGAGTATCAACAAGGACGTTTTTCGTAATCTTTTTGCTACACCATGGATGTTGACAGTGATTCTAGTGATGAAGAAGTAATAACAGCATACTACTATTACAGGAGAAATAAAAAAAATAGAAGGTTTTGGGTTCATCCATACATCGAAAAAAATTTTCATCACCGATTATTCATTGCTGCAAGAGAATTGAACCTTTCCGATACTAAATTTTTATGTTTTTATCGGATGTCAAAAGAAAGTTACTTATATTTGGTGAACCTGATTTCCCCTGCCATAAACAAGCGAGATACAAACATGAGAGAGTGTGTGAATGCCGAGGAACGGATATTAATTACACTCAGGTAAGTAACTTACTTTTTTATCTACTTAATGCAAATTTAAACACTTTATTGAAATTAGTAACATTTACCTATATAATTAGCATATTAGTAATATTTTTATAACAATAAACATATCATTTTTTTATCTAATATATGAAAACATTTTAATAATTTTAAAAAGAACCTAAAACAAAATATTATACTTATTTATTCCTGTTGGTTTAATTCGTACAAGGCTTCATTAACCGCTTCATAGTACTTTTCAGAACTATTTTGGTTTATAGTTTGTAATGTGTTAGGTTGAGAGGTTTTATGAGCATTTTCATTCTGAGATATCAGTAGAATTTGTTGATCTGTTGACGGCGTTGTAGATGAAGACGAGAATGAATGAATAGGTGTTGTCGACGCGTATATTATACTTCAGAAATGTCACTATTATTATTATTATCTATTGTTATGTTATCTTATGATCGCCAATGTCGATCCGATCCATGTACGAATGTTACCTATTTTAGTGTGTGTTTAACCGTGTATCCATGTACATATGCGCGTCACCGTGTCTGTCTCAGTATTTTTAAAATAAATTATACATTTCTATATTAATGAAAATTATATATTAAAAATTATACAGTCCATTAAAAACCAGCGACAACATTTGGTCCTTCGGCCGGATTGCAATTCGCATAACTGAATACAACGTAATTAGAATTATTATTATTTTGTTTAATTAAATAAATAAAAAAAAAAAAAAAAAAAGTTATAGCATTCCGTAAAATTAAGTGCGCGTGGTAAATCGTTATATACTCATATGTGTTCAGCAAATATTAAACATGCATAATTAAGGTGAATTACACAAGCAAGAAGGACAGTGATGGGGCGATGTGGTAAGTTGTATCAGTGCAAATTATTACTTATTTCCTAAAAATAAATCCTATCTATGAGTTTGAAAGTCTCCTTCAGGTACCTAAATTTAATTGGGAAATTGTTGAGAAGGTCATAACTATAGTACAACTCGGTATAGATAATAAATAATTGGCTGTTGGCGTACGTTATCACACTAATACACATTACTTGCAAACACACAGCTGTCTATCGTGATCGGCGATCCCGTCCACTTTAGACACCAAGCTGTCACGCATACACATACACAGGACATACACACTCAAAAACGCGTACTTCAATATGTCAGATTTAGTTTCGTTAAAAACCCGCAGAGGGCAATTAAAAGGGCAGTTAACAAGGTTCAGTACATATGTAAATAAAGATTCAGTGGACCCAATCGAAATTAAATGTCGAAGTAAGAGGATGGAAGAATTATGGTCAGAATTTGATCAAGTGCAATCTAAAATAGAGTCATTTGAAAACGAAACTGATGATTACCGTATAGAGTTTGAAGAAATATATTTTAGCGCTATAGCGTTAGGTGAGAGCCAAATGCAACGTGTTAGCGCAAAAAAAGGATGATGCGGGTGGTGTAAGATCAATTGCAACAGCGCAAACAATTAATTGTAGCACGAATTCGTGTTGCAACAGCACAACCGCAGCATTGAAATTGGCACCGATAGATGTACCAAAATTTTCGGGTGCATATGAGGAATGGTCGGCTTTCCACGATATTTATATGGCAATGATACATAATAATCCAGGGATAGATGATATACAGCGATTTTTTCATTTGCGTTCGTGCCTAAAAGATGAGGCGGCACAAGTTATAATGTATATAGAAACGACAGCCGCAAATTATAACGTAGCGTGGAATAGCGTGGTGTCTCGATATAATAATAAAAAGGTGTTAGTGCAGTCACACACGAAAGAGTTGTTCGATATTCCGGCGATAAACGAGGAAGCTGTACAATTAAGAAAATTAGTAGATCAATTAAATGGTCATATAAACGCGTTGGAAGCACTAGGAGAGAAACCTAGAGAGTGGGGCTCAATATTACTGCACCTTATCGCAACTAAATTAGATTCCAGTACACTCAAAGCGTGGGAAACGGTATCTCCTAAAAATGAAATACCCAAAGTACAAGTGTTACTTGAATTTTTAGAAAAGAGATTTAAAGTAATTGAAGCAGTGGAGACCTCGTCAAGTATAAATGTCCGTAATGACGAAAAAATAAAATATAATATGATTAACAGTAAAAAAATCAAAAATAACCACAAATCAATCGCGTTTCCAACATATGGTGGTGTGAAATGTTATAATTGCCAATTAGCGCACTCGATATATAAATGCCCATCTTTTCTTGCTTTACCGGTTCCCGATCGAATAAAAAGGGTGGGTGAACTTCAATTATGCAAGATATGTATTCGGTCTCATATCGGAAAGAAATGTGATGAAAAAAAATGTTTTCAATGTCATAAGGCGCATAACACATTATTACATTTAAAAATAAATAATAAGACGGAGAGTAATTCTTCAGAGCAATTTAAAGATAATACCGAAGAAATACCCACGACAAGCAATTTGAGTATATCGGCACACGCATCAGCGATAAGCTATAGACAAGTGCTCCTATCAACCGCAGTAATTAACGTATTTAATAATGATGGCAAACCGGTAAGGTGCAGAGTTTTATTGGACTCCGGTTCACAAAATAATTTTATCACAGAGCATATGGCGCAAATGTTAAGATTGCGACGTAAAAAAGTTACTTATGATGTAGCTGGAATCGGGCACGCATTACATACCATAGGATCCGAGATTACGGTAACGGTGGGTTCCTGTATAACGGATTTCAAAGCAAATATATCATGTTTAATAATACCTTGTATAACAAAAAATATTCCGATAAGCACGGTAAATACGGAGACCATAAATATACCAAATAATATTGTACTAGCCGATAAATCATACAATAGACCACAACGCATAGATATGTTGATGGGTATTGAATTATTTTTCGATTTATTAGATCAAGGTCAAATTAAATTAAATGAAAATGGCCCTATATTGAAAGAAACAAAGTTTGGTTGGATTGTGGCAGGTCCAATTTCTAATAATAAATCGAATTTAAAAGAGACACAAAATATTTGTTTAAGTACGTATCAAGTAGATGATAATTTAGATGAAAGGATTGCGAAGTTTTGGAGATTGGAAAATATAGATAAAAATACTCATTATACATTGGAAGAAAAGGCTTGTTACGATCATTTTACTAAAACAGTACGCCGCGACGATACGGGCAAATTTGTCGTACGGTTGCCGTTCCGGGAAGACATTAGCAGTGGCGCACACAGGATTTTTTTTCGGGGGGGGTTGTTCTATTAATTATTCACTATAGAGGCATTGTATAGCCCTATGCTAAAAAATGATAAAACGTATCAAAATAGTATGAACTATATATTTTGTACATCCAATATATTTTATAGTCTATATACTAATTATGACATTTTAATTTATTATTAACAGTTTAAAGGTCAATGAATACAAAATTAAAATAGTCAATTTGTTATAATAGAACAATGTATGCAAAAAAATATAATTTTATAAATTTAATGCCAATCTCTTGTTTGATGTTTTTCCCATCTCATTGATTATCTCCTCGGGGGTTATTGTTATATCCCTGTGAATATTTAACATTGATAAACCGTTAAGTCTGATTTGTCCAGTTGTATTCCGTAGATAAGTTTTTATACGTCGTAATGTAGAAAACGAACGTTCTCCTGATGCTGTTGTAACTGGTAATGTGATGAAAATTTGAAGCAACTTTGAAATAATTGTATACATTTTTGAATTACATTGGAAGAATAAATCTGTCACAGTTATTTTAGATTGTTCAGAATGTTCAGAAAGTTTACTTTGATATTCAAAGCTATTATGCCATAATTTTAATTCGGCACAGCCTGAATATTCATTTAATATATTATCATTTTTATCATCATTTAAGATATCTTTGTAATTTTCTAGCAGTAACTTAAATTTGTCTTCAACGTTTTTTGTAACTTTAAGATTAGACTTTGGTATTAAACAATCAAAGCTTTTTAAAATGGACTGATGTTCTAAAAACCTATTATGTAATTGCTCTATAAAATTATCTAAAAATGGGATGAATACCCCTACTCGGTAAAAACTTTCCGGAGTGTCAACGTCTACATTAGTTCTGTGTGTTTGCCGACCAGATACTCTGGGAACACAAACAGCAATTTCCAATGTATTGCAAATTTTTTCAACTGACTTAAATATTTCATTGAATTCTTTATCAGCATTTAAACGAATATCTTTTAAAGTAGTTTGTGTAGTTTCAGCAAAAAAAAGGGCATTTTCTAGATCCAAATTTTCTGTTTGTAAAAATTTGCTCAGTGACACTGATATTGAAAACAGTTTAACAAGAATCATCATTGATATTTGGAATTTAAATTGGTGAATTGATGCAAGGAGTTGATTTGCCGCTGATGAAGTATCTGTATCTTTCCACAAAGAAATGTCTTCCAGAGCAGAAATAATTGCAGGTTGTAATTCATAGTACAGTATGACGGCGTCATGACGTTCAACCCATCTTGTAGGGCAAAACTTTTTCAGTTTAAAAGATTTTTCATCTGGTAAAAGCTTTTTAATAGCACCCAAAAGTACATTTGACCTCTTAGGGTATGAGAAAAAATTGCATATTGTTTGCATAGTTCCCATACAATTCCTTATATCAGGGATTTTACAAGAAGAAGAGATAGCCAAATTTAGGCAATGAGAACTGCAGTGTATATATAATGCCATTGGGTGTTTTGTTCGTATATAAGCTTGGGTACCGTTGAATATTCCGGACATAGAGGCTGCCCCATCATACCCTTGTCCAACTAGATACTTTGTTTCTATACCCATGGATTGAAGATTGTTTAGTATGGTATCTGCTAATGCCTTTCCACTAACATCTTTAACCTCAATGAATTGTAAAAAATCTTCCCTTAATTTCTTTTGACCAAAATGAACATACCTCACACATAAAGTTAATTGTTCTTTATTGGCTATATCGCTTGTTTCATCTGCCAACACCGTAAATGATTTTGCAGCATTAATATCATGCACAAGCGTTTGTAGCATTAAGCTATTACAGGCTGTTATAATTTCATTTTGAATACGCCAACTAGTATACATAGCATTTTTAGAACAAGTTACTAGATGGTTTTGAAGATTTTGGTCACCTGCATCAACTCTAAAACGTAACAACTGTCTAAAGTTACCATCATTGTAAATTTCATCCTCATCACATGTAACTAATCCACTATCTTTATGCCCACGTAAAGCAATACCCTGTCTTCCACAAAACAATACAGTTTTAATTATAGGAATAATACGTTTTCTATTTTCTTCTATTTCTTTCCTTAGAGCATTATTTACTTGAATTTCAATAGATTGAATTTTGTTATTTTTAACAGCCAAAAAAGAATCATATTTATACTGACTTGTTTTATGATATTCTGTTTTTGCGTGCATCTCAAATACCCCTTTTGAGCCAAGTGCCTTTTCCAATTATCAAATTTCTGATATTAATTTCTGAGTGAGCATACCTTTACCAACACCTTGCTTAAGACTAAAATATACATACTTTGCAGTATGCACCATTTTGTATTTGAGAAAGCATAACCAATTATTTTAGAAGCAAGTATATTGAAATTTTAAGTGTCTGTTTCCTGTTGTAGGGAATTTATCCAGGTGTAGGAGTCCATAGATTATTCAGTGCAAGCAATTTTTCGCTGTCAGAAACCTTTATAAAACAATTAAAAGCACAAAAGCAATGTCTCACGTTTTAAATTAAAAACTTACTGAATTTTCAATATAAAATGAGATATCTTTATTGCATTTAAAATCGTTCTTGTCATTTATTGATTTATTATCAATAACATTAATCAGCAGATCATTATCAAGCTCCTACATTAGAAGCAGTTATTAGCAAATAGCAATAGCGCATACAAGATTTTTTTCTAATAATATTAGATATTAAAGCATTTAGCATAGTATATTAAAAATTATTATATATATTATATTATTATATATTATATATAATAATACTTGAAATGTGCATAATACTATTATTTATTAAACAAATCATTGATTAATATTCAATATAGTAAAAAGTGATAATAATGAAAGTGAAGCCACAATGTCATAAACAACTAAACAAGCATAATATACTCAAATACATATATAAACATACAAATAAATAATACTTTAAAATTAATAGTGATCAGCGGTTTAACATATGCATTCAAGTTAATATTTAATGTAAAAAGTACCTACTTATCCACTATATTTATTTTTAATTTGGATCTGTAATCTAACCTTAAAATATATTAATTATTTCATAATCATAAATAATTTTTGTTGTATGATTCAAAGTTTAACTAATCAATGAAATTCAATTGTCTCTATTTTAAAAATTATGATAGACTATGTAATACATTTCTTAACATATCACTATTTTTGTAATTGTGTATTTTTAGAATTTAAATTAATCTTAATATTATAAAATTTAATTATTTTAAAATTAAGTCATTGCTAGTTTTATCAAATTTAATTATGGAAATACATTAAATATAGAATTCAAATGTACCTTTTAATGTTAACTGTATCTAATGGTTCTTATATTATTTAACATAGTCCAATAATATTTACATAATTACATTGATATTGATTACCTGATCGGGCTGATCCTGACTATCATCAGATATTTTTACCTCAACCTCTTGAGTGTCCTGACTAACATGCAATAGCTGCAATGAGTGATCAACATTTAGCTCCTATAAAATGTCATTTAATTTATAATAAAATAAGTACCACCATTCACCAATACTAATTTAAAACATTTTAGAAACTTTTGAAGTAAGTACTTAAATAATTAAATAAATGAAATAAAAATGTATTTCTAAATTTACTGTTTTAGATTTGAAGTTGAGGGTTGTTCATAATTTTTACTCTTTTGTGAAAAATGACGTAATATTACCATGGGCAATCCTTTTCTTTTTTTCACTCATAATGTGAAAACTTAAAATGAAATATATTTAATATTTATTAACTGAGTTATTGTCTAATACTCTAATAGATTTCATGACTAACCAATAACAATTAACAATAATTTAAAACACGTTATCACAGATTGCTTATCCTTATCAGTTATCACACTTTAATTGAGACCGCGGTTGTAGTGATTGTAGGTGCGCGTACCCGATAACAAAACGAGCGTCTAGCAGACGTAGCTAGTGCCACTAGCAAATATCTTATCAAACTCAAGACTATGGACAACGCCCCTAATCAGCACTAAACAAAATCAAATTAAAATAATATGATATTATTTAAAATTATAATATATTTGATAAGATAAAGCACTGATGATGAAATTTGTTCGTGGGTTGTTTCTAGACGCTCTAATGAAGAGCAATACAACTGAACGAAGTAACATA